TGAAAAGAGACATTATTGAATGAGGATGGTGTTTTGGAGAGCTCCTGCAAGAGGCTGAGGAATGAATTTGTGAGCAGACAGTGAGGAAAGAAGTGTTATTGTCAGCTTGGAAGAAGCCGCAATATGACAGCCTCCAATCACATAGTTGCACAGAAGAAAGATAACTAAACACAGACTGACAGAGAGAGGAAAATGGATATTATTTATTTATTTCAACAGAGCTAGTTTTAGCCACATCTGAACACAAATACAGCAGCAGCAAATCAGAAAGAGAAGAAAGGTCATCTGAAAGAATGTGGAGCTGCTAAGAAACAAAGGAAAATGGAAAACAACTTTTGAAAAAATGAGAAATGGGAATAAGTAGAGAAAGAACTCCCAGTCCTTGTCCTTATTAAACACAATTTTGTTGAGTTTAATTATGTAAAACATTCAAACATAACAAACAATTCACCAAAAGCATAAAAACAAGGATCAGGCTGCTGCAGAAGTTCATAGAGTCAGTCATAAGGCCTGATCCTTAAAACTGACCAGAAGTTGCAGGCATGAGGAAAAAAATTTAAGATGCTTCAGTGAAGCCACCCCAAAGACTGACTTGTACTTCTAAATGCGTCCCTTGGAATGAGGGTTCTGCTTGCAAAGCCAGAGATTTGTCAAGCATTGTAAGGCTATCAAAGGCTACAGATAATACTTGTGTTACCATCAGTTGTTATGAGGCCACCCAAAGTTTCACAGGGCAAATCACACTGGGAAAAAATCAGATTAGACTCTAATGCAATTAACATCATGACAGAAAGGTCCTTCTGAGGGAGAAAGCAACGCAACAGAGTCTCACTGAATTTGAAAAAGCAGTTCAGACCAGATCCAGAAAAAAGAGTGGGTTTGTCCTCACAAAGAATAAAGTTAATAGAAGTCATTGTATAATAAATCTCCATTGTTATGGAGGAAGAACTGAGAGTTCCTTGGAACTGCTCTGAATTCTCATTTGCATTCAATGTCATCTTATAACTCTTACGCGCAGGTGGAAAGAAGGAGTGAGAGCAGCCTCCAGAGGCTCCTGGAGATGGAAACCTGCAAGTCTGAGTCTGCACCAAGTGTCAGCTGGGACAAGACATTGACAAAGTGTTTCTGTGACATGCATTCTTATTTCTGAGGTTTTCTTTCAAAAGGGTGTTTCTAATTTCATAGCCTGAATATGCCTTTCTTGCTTTCCTACAAAACAAACTTACCACTTGCATTTTGATCTCTATTAAAAGTGAATTTAGGTGAATCTCACCTGTTAAAGACATTTTACTTTTTTGGGGGCAACCAATTGCAATAAAATATTGCTATGGGTGTACTCTCCCTCTGTTTCATATAATCACCACTGTGTGCCATACCTGTATTGCAGTGACAGAGGAAATGATCACGGCACAAGTGGTAGGAATAAAGCCAGAACATGGCAGAAAGCAAGTGACAACTTTTTTAAAAAACAAATGCTTTAAGGGAGACCCAGAAGGAAAAAGAGAACAAGTTACTCTCTTCTTCACTCCCCATAAAAGAATCTTCGTTTACTGTGCCTCTAATGCTCACCTTAAGGTGTTGTAAAGCATTTCAGCCTCAGAAAAACTTGGTGGATAATCATGCTGGCTACATATCAGTACCTTCAGTGTCAACAGGGATTCTTACAAATCGTTATGCATCTTTTTTTTTTTTTTTTCCCAACTACATGCTTCTCAGGAAACACCTCTTCTATCATTATTAATTTCTTCACATTCTTCAGAGAGATGGATTTCAATGGTCTTTTCCCACTCTATTTCCACAGCTAGCTCCATTCTTTTATGACTTCTGTGAAGTATTGGAATTATTTGCTTTTGATTGTAAGGAGAGAGGGTTTAAATCACAGCCTGCAAAGAAAGGTGCATTGGTTGCCTAGTCATGATTTACAGAGATCCAATTAAGAGATTCTGTCAAACCTGATGTACGACAGAGTGGGGATTTCAACAGCAACTGCTTCTCAAAAAAACAGTCAGTCTTCTAGAGTCAGTATACAATTAGGGTCATTCTGCCTTTCTTTTGGAGTATCACAGAAAAAAAAGGGCTTTATTCAGCAATTCTTACAGTGAGAATATAGAAAAAATACTTTATGCTTTGTTATGTTTCTTCAAGATACCCACTTATCAAGTGATAAGTAAAAAACCTTCCACAGCCATTGGTAATCATTTTTAGTAGTTTATTAACTGTTCAAGTGTTTCACTCCATTCTCAATGTGAATTGATATGCCATAATGTTCTAGAGATTGGCAGACATACCTTGTTCTCTTAGATCAAAGTGCATGTACTGTCAGATTTATTGTCTTCTGTTTGTATATTCAAAAAGTACAGCATTGTAATATTTCTATTTGCAAATAAATTAGGCTTAGTTGTCACATCTGAAAACAAACTTCAGATCTCTCATTTCTTTTCAGAATGCTTAGGAATTGCTTGATACTTCTTTTTAAAGAGAGTAACCAGATCTAGAAAACATATTCCACTAGTGGTTCTGCACATTACTGTAACACAGCTTCTTTATTCTGACTGAAGTTCCTGTGATGGTAGATCCAAGTACTGTGTTTATCTTCTGCTACAATACCACACCTGAAGTTTGCACTTGATTTGCTATGTGTCATGTCCCAGCTCCTATCTCAGAAACAACTTTCTGGGAGATGATTCCTTACTGTATGTATTGGCCCTTTTTCCTTGGCATTCCCTATAACTTTATTAAGAAAAAAAATAATTATAAGTACACTCCAAATCCAGTGGTAGAAAACTATTGGTATAATTGATCTGTCTTCCAACTTCTGTGTTATTTGAAAACTACATGTGTTTTCATTTATGTTTTCTTTTGAGCCATAATAGCCATCTCAGAAGAACAAGGCCAAGATTATAAAGAGAAAAAATCAGACGTTTGTTGTTTTGTTTAGGGAAAATAAGAATCATATTTTTATCATTCAAAATATACTATATTTATACAGGTTTCTTTAAGAGTCCTCAAGAAATTAAAATTTATCAAAATATATATTAAACACAACTGGTATCCCTGCTTTCCTGGAGACAGTCTTAACAAGTTAATAAGCTTGCCCACTGAGCACTTTTGAAGACTAAGCTAAGTATCTTGAGTATTTGTGCTTCAAGATTTAGAATGTTTAGATATTATGATTACTTGAAGTTTAAATATTGTTATGAAGTTTTTAAACTCAAGCTGGAGGAGAGGAAACAGTCAAAGAGCAGAAGAAAAACAACCATCAGTCATTCCAGCAGAGATAAACAGAGACTGGAAAACTGCACTTTAATATCTTTTTTTTTTTTCTTTTTCCTGGCAAGATTTTCTGTTTTTAATTTGCTAGACCAACTTGTTGATTTTTTTGGTTTGGTTTGGTTTTTTTTTTAATATTTGCCTTTTGGAGAGAACTGCTCATGAACCTAAGGGAAAAGGAGATGTACTCAAAACAGTAGCACAACATAAAATGTTCAGACACTGGAAAGGGATGACCTCATCCTATTTTGCCTGAGTTAACTGGCTGTAAGAAGAGAGCTAGCCATTAATCTGTTCCAACAATTCTTTGGAGAACTGAAGTTCACCTTTAAGAGACACAATGCCATTCCTCTTGGTCCACATTAATACAGTGGGTATTTTGGAAATTTAAAATGCAAAAAAAAGTAAATTTAAAGGAAACTGAAAAGTTAGTTCTCCCGAAGAAATATTGAGACAATATTTGACTGGTGTCATAAAGGGATACATCACAGTCTGCACTGTAATCAGTAAGAGGAATTATCCAAGGTATTGTTTGCAGTAGGGAAAATCATGACCAATTTAGAGCAAATAAATTCACTCCCGAATGTCTGTACTCCTCTTATGATACCATTTAATAAGAACATTGCTTTTAATCTATCTTCTAAATAAAAGAAAGAAAAAAATCTACTTTCACATAAAAAAGAATCTGAAATGGAAAGAATATAATCTAAAAGTTAATTTCTAGTGAGAGTGTGTCTGCAGATTCATATTCTTTTTTCCTGTCCTCTGAATGCTTACATGAGTATCCCATGAAGCTCCACATATCATTCAGCTTTATAATCTCTCTCCACAAAGTCAATCTTATCACATGGGTTGAAGTCTTAAGTTATGCCTCAGTCTGTTTTTCTCTTAGCTGTTTCATAGATTCTGGGAAACAAGCTATATACCTCACCTGCTTCCCAATAAAAACCTTCTCAGACTAACAAGGACTACCTTTCTGGAAAACTGAGAGATTATATGTGGCACTAGCTAAAAAAAAACTTCTTAGTTGTGGTTAGGTATGTCCAGAACTATGTCATTCACTCATACATGTTGATTCCAGAATGAATGTGTTCCCCACCAAGTTTGGACTTAGATTTCTCCTTTTTTGAAGGAAATGAGAAATACTGGGGTTCCAGACTGCAATGAGTCTGCATGTCTTCCTTCTCATTGCAGAGAGGTGTAAGAGCACACAGACACAGAGGTAACCTCTTTCCAATGTTTTGACAGAACACAGTAATGAAACTTATTTCCCCAAAATGTTTTAGGTTTGCAATTCATATCTTCTGTTAAATGAAAAGTTACTTTGATTGATGGAGGCATTTATTTGGGGATTTTGGGTTGTGGTATATTTTTTTAATCAAGACAACATTGTGTGGTCCATAAATGTTTTGTTTTGTTTTTTTTTTCCTGACAGCCCTTAATGCATGAAAAAAAAAAAAAGAAGTTAAAAACATAGGGAAAATATTTGTAAGCTCACGACTAAGTTCTGTTGCCAATTTTTAAACCTAATCAAAAACAATTTCATTAAACTCACATTTGAGGTCACACTTCTCTAGATTACCACAGTGCAAATGAATTACAGCTTGTTTTCAAATGTCTACATAATATTTGCTGTGTACACAGACCCTTAACATCATAATATACCCTGAGTTGAAAGGGATCCAAAAGGATCATAGAATCCAACTGCTGGCATAGCACAGGACCAAGAATCACACATGTTCTTGAGAGTATTGTCCAAATGCATCTTGAACTCTGTCACACTTGGTGCTCTGACCACTTCCCCGGGGAGCCTGTGCCAGTGCCCAACCACCCTGTGGGTGAAGACATTTTGCCATCATCCGAGTTAAACCTTCCCTGACACAACTTCATGCCATTCCCTTGGGTCCCATCACTGGTGACCAGAGAGAAGAGATTAGTGCTTGCTCCTCTGCTTACGCTCATGAGGAGGCTGTAGACTGTAATGAGGTCTCCCCTTAGTCTCCTCTTCTCTAGACTCTACAAACCACTTGTGCGACCAAATCTCTTTCCTCTTACAATAAGGGGTGCGTGCTCATAGGAAGATAGTAGCTGAGATAAAGATAAAAAGGCTGCATATCCTGATTCAAAATTTTTCAGCAAAGTCCAGTTTGCAAAACTTGCTGATGAATTTTGAGAGAATTTTTTTTCTTTTTCCTGAGAGTTTTAAGTACCTATTTCAGCCCATCCTGATCTCTAATAGTGAAAACTGGTCTTCAGCCATGAGATGGTGCATGTAAAGGAAGAAGTTTTCATTACACATAAAGTTTCTAAATCACATGATCTTGATAATGACAGTGAATCACCTTCTAGACTGTAAAGCAGAAAGTATGATGGTTTCCTTTGGAGAAAACAGAGAACAGATTAGGCACAATATGCAGCCTTGTTAAAATGTTTTTTTTTCCCAGTGCAACAATAAAGCAGTTCTGAGAAGTCACAGAAGAGAGGAAAATGTTGCATTCCCTTTTTGCCATTGCTTCAGAAATAGCAGTTGTGCTAAAGAAATGAACGGATGGATGGCAAGTGTTCAGAAGTGGAAAAATGAGATTTATGCTGCTATAATTCAAACTGTAATAGGGGAAAATCATAGCTACCATTCAGAGACACAAAAGTTATGAATATGAATGAGATAATTTTATATATATTTAATTTTACTGAGAAGTATAATTAGTTAATTATATAAAGGAATGGAGATTGTTGCTTCTTATACACTCCTGAGCAGCAGGGTACCAGGCACCTTGATAGATTCTTGCTGCAGCTCAGTTGCTTCACAGAGATGCTGTCCTCTTGCCTTAATCTTGCAAAGATGTTAAGAGTGGGCATGGCATCATTTCTGCTTCTCTTCATCTCACAGGAGGAGGTGTCATATCTCAGTGTAGAGGCTGCAGAGCCATACTGAGGCATTTCAGTGCTTAGGGCAGGATGTTAATTTGTCTTCCTTCCACTGCTCCCCTGCACCTCTGCTGCCAGACAGATCCTGTGGCCAGTAATGCTATTGTTCTACATCCCTCACACATAACAAAGCAACCTTTTACACTGATCTGAATATAATACTTCTTTCTGAAAGATATCATTAACTCTAAGTCATTCTTAGAAGGGGAAATCAAGCCACATTTTCTCAGCTCTGGGAAAAAAAAATTGTAAGTTTTTAGGAGGCTGGCAAACAGATTTTTTTTAAGATAAGTATCTGTGAAAATAGGTACAAACATCTATTGGGAGCTAATAGCATAATTTTGCATTGTGTTGACTTTCTATATATTACAGTGGACACAGTCTTACCATTGCTTAGTAGTGGAAAATTATCTCCATCTCCCTAAGTTATCCATTAACCAATAACACAGGACCAGCTTATTCAGCAGAACATAAATATTTCTCATTATTTATGTGAAGATTAAACAGTCTGAAATGTTGTATGAGAAACTGAAGGACACAATAATAAAGAATAGACCATATACAAGTATAAAGTAGAAACAACAATTGTCAGAGTTGCCAAATGGTCTTGTGCTCTGTCAAAATCAATTTGTTCTCAGTCTACTGAAAAGAAACAACGTGACTGGAAGAAACCTCTTCAGTCAGTGTACTCAGACCTTTGAGGAACCTCTTAGGGAGGTTTATTTCATAAAGTGATTAAGTTATTTCTTAAAATTCATTCTAATTTCTGTTCTGCTCCTCCTGTTACTACTGAACAATCATCACAAAACTTCATTCTCCAGAACCTAGATACTTTCTCCTGCTATCCAGCTTAAATGTATTTTCATTCTCTGAAATCCATCCTGAATTTGTTCCAATATTCTTTCAGTTTAATTTCTCTTTTTCTCAGTTCTTCCTTCGCAACACCATGACATGTCCACTTAAACTCTGCTTTGATATGCCAAACATGGAAAAAGGATATTTTCTGGGGTGGTCTAAATTCTTGCATCCCAGATGTGTACCAAGGCTGGGTTATGACTCCTTCCTGGGAGTAGACTACAATCACAGATAGCTTTCCAGAACCTTGGTCAATGGCATTGTTACTCCCTTCTTTCTGGTAGAAATATGTTGTTCAGTACATCACAGCATTTTGTTTGTTGTTTTAAAATTCTCTACTGAAGCCAAGATAAGGGAAATTTATTGCATCTCCTTTTTTAAGCAAAATCCAGAAATCTTATCAGAGAATATGGTTGCATTACTGAATATGGTTTGCTGATAGGAAATGCATGTTACCTTTTCTCCATTTTGCAAGCACATCTCATTGGTAAAGAATTTTTTTCTTCAAGTTACATTGTAAAACCTTTCATATAACCAACCAAGTCTAATCTATCCAAATTCTCTTTTGTCCTCTCTAAAAGTTGCATTTAACTTCTGTCCTCTCTCCCCTTCTTCCCCAGCATTTGGCAATACTCATTAATAGACTCATGTTTAATGCAATCAGAATATCAGGATTCTGGAAAGAAATATATTTCATTTTCCCCATGTACATACTCTCTCCCTTGGATGCTAAGCATCTTGAAATTAGCTTCCACTTCATTTCTGGCAGTTTTTAATCAAGATATTGATTGAATGGAGTTTGAGATCTGGCTGTTCATAAAATAATACCTAAGCTCCTACTTAGAATTTCTGCAAAAAGGAAACCAAATGTTTCCCCTGTTAGGGAGCAGCAAGATCAAGGCTGTTGCACAGGGGAAGATGAGCTGGGAGCTTCAGGTGGTCACAGCAGAGGCTTGCTACAGGTCCCAGCTGTCTGATCAGAGCAGGATGCTGATAAGAGCTGATTCATCAGCAGTCCCAGACAAAGGAAGATGATGAACTCAATCCAGCATGTATCTAAGGTGCCCAGAGCAGCAAGAGGTCTTGCTGGAGGCAAGACTGGAGACAAGTCAACAAGATAGATCCAAAATCCAGACAGGGCTAGAATGCATGCCTATAGCATAGCTCAGGTAAGGCATAAAGACACAGCTTGAGTTTAAATGGAGCTTCTAGAGAAATGGACAGAGGGTGCATGGAGTACAGATCCCAATGTGAGGTTGGTCAGGACATTAAGGCCTGCTGTGCACTCAAACATCAGGGTGGTATTGAAAAGCAGCATCTACGCTACTCGTAATCACTGCATAGATTTGACAAAAAACAGCCCTAAAAAGGGAAAGGATGAACAACATAAAGTTGAGAAAGAGCCTGGGAATAATGTATCCAAGTGAGTAATTCATTGGTGATGACCCCTTCATAGCCCCCACTTCTACAGGCATCCAACAGACAAAAGAACTCCTTTAGTATTTTTGTTAGTCTTATAGTATTTTAAGACTCTGACTATGAAAATATTATAACCATAATTTGGAAAATTATGATGTCAAACCTATAGTCATTGACAGGAATTTATTATTTTCATTAGGCTATGACTACCCTGTCCCCAAACAAACAAAGCTGTGATTTATCAAATATTTCCTTTGTTTTTGCACCATTTGACCAATTTGAATTTCCATTATGCCTAGATACAACCTGTAAAGAAATCTACTAGTCTTACTATATTAACAGTGACCTCCTACTACAGACCTTCTGTGTAGCAATTTGTCTAGTTAAAATGAAAGTTTGAAAACATCAAAATCAAAAACAATTTCTAAAATTCACCTCAGTCTTCTGCCACTTTCTCTTTTTAAAGTTACAGGCACATTTGATAGCATTTCTAGATTCCCAGTAATTGTAGGGGCTGGCTTAAGCTTTTACTGTCAAGGGAATATCACCAAAGGTAGTACAAGGTGAAAACGTCATGACAATGTTTTCTGGTTCATTGATAATGCAGCAGAAGATAGACAGAGGCTGTAATAACAGGGGATGCATATTTGGGTTTTGAAGGATTCTAGGATTTACAGGTGGAAGAGCCTGGCTTGAACCAGTAAGTAGATGTTCAACACCTAGACAGGGAACACTGATGGCAAGTGCTTGAGTGTGTTTGGCAGAGAAATAGGAAACGAACTCCCTTCAGAAAATCTGTCGTGGGTTAGGAATGGTACTCCCCAACATAGTGCTCCCACTGAGACTGGGCTGGAGGAGGAGAACTGGAGGCACAAAAAGTAAAGATCACAGGTTGAGGTAAGAACAATGTACTGGAAACAGCAATGAGATAAGAAAACAAACAGTAACAGCAATGATGTTAGTAACAAAAGTGTACAAAAAAGAGAGTGACGCAAAAATGCTCACTGTGCAGCTTGACCCAACCCCACTGCAGCCATGCCCCCTCTGGCTTGGAACTGGTGCCACCTCCGGAACCAGGACATAATTACATCTCCAAAGATAATCCCTTTTTCTTCTTATTAGCTTATATGGTAATATTGTTTTTTTGAATGGTGCTTCCAAATCTGTATATGTGGGGTTTTTTCTATATCGTATTCCCTCTTTCCCATTTTCTGATGACTCTGCTGACGCAAGTCAATAACAGGTGTTACTGTTAACTTTCATCACTGAAATATTTTACATGAAGAAGTACAAAATCTGGTGACACAAACCTAAAGAATGACTGCAGTCACAGTGTTTTACAATTAAGACAAGATTGATTATGGAGTAGTTTTCTCTCAGCTCACAGACTTCAGTCTACATTTTATAGCTGGCTACAGCTTCTGTCAAGAGAAGGCAGATGGGGATGTCATGATATTTTCATAGTGAGAGTCCTAAAACATTCTAAGGCTAATAAAAACACCCCAACCCTCCCACCCCCAAAGATATATAGACTGGTAATACTTTTCCTGATGTAAGATGCAGCTTTAATTAAATATAATAACAATTAACTAACTGCAGAGTGGAGGGAGTACTGGGACTGAAAGGTTGTCAGTGAAAGATAAACAGTGACAGCCAACAGTCACATCAAAAAAGAAAACAAAGCAAGAAACCTGCTTTTTGGGCAGTGCCTGGGAAAAGACACAATTTCTCATAGGTGATCTGCAAAGTGATCCCCATTTCTGAAATATCATTCAAAAATAAATAAACACCACCAGCAGCACCCAAGGATATCAGATTTCAGATGCTGGAGGTTTCAGCTGCAGAGTAGAAAAGGTTCCCAGGAGAGTTTTGCACTGCTTTGAAATGTCACCTCGAACTCTGTCTATCTAGATTTAGCTTTCTCCTGAGACCTGTTAAGTCCAGTAGCATTTCCTCCAGAAGAATTTTTTATGTACCAAGGAGTTATTCCCAAAGGGAATCACCCCTTACTAGGGAACAAAAAGGGCATCTGGTTCAAATCAAATACTGGAGCAGAGAACATGAATACTTTGCCTTAACTGATATTAGATTTCTGCAGCTTCCAGGGAACAGAATATGGCACAAAATGCCAATTCAATTAAGCAGCACTGTTGTTTCCTCTAACTCCAGCAGGGAAGTTTGCTGTTGCAAGGCAGAGACTCCTGGGAGCCTCTAGTTCCTTCCTATGTGACCTTGGGCAAGATTCTTCATATTCTTATGCCACAGTTGGCTGGCAAGAATGTTGAAGTCTTAATTAACATGGGAAAAACATGAAGGAGGCTGTAGAAAAAGTGCAATGCTGTCATTATTACTTTCACATTTGGACTGGCTGATGCGTCTCTTGCTCCTATTGATCAAAACAGTGGCTGTTTGAATATGCTAATTTGTGAAGTAAGAGTTATGCTACAGCTAATTGAGTCAAATCTAGGAGATTGCTGAAAAAAGGTTCCCATCTCCCCTCTGCTCAAGTGCTATCTCGTGCTCATGCTTTCCTGAGTGTTGCATGAGCTGGTAGTGCTCACTAGAGGCAGGAAAAAAGGCATCTATCTGTATGACAATGTGGATTCAGAGAGCAGACCTGTGTCAGTCAGATCAGCTCTGGAACAGCAGATAGGGAACAGGAGGAGTACAGTTCCAGGAAACCTGTGTCGGGTGGAATAGAGAATGGCATCTCCAGCCTGGTATCAGTGAGCTCCCCTCATCCATCTCAGCTTTATCCACAAAACTTCCCCTCTATCCAAGCAGACATCTCCGCAAATAATTCATTTTTTGATAAGGAGCCCAAGACCAGTAAATGCAACTCTTCTGAAGAAGTAAGGTGGAACTACTAGAAGTTAAGAGGCCTTAAAAATCAAGAACAGTTATAAAAAAAAAGCTCACATACGCCTGCTTGGCACCCCATGGTCCTTGAAGACATTTCCTATGCTTTCCTGTGTTTACTTCTTTCAAAGCTCTTTCCAGAGAGATAAGCAGCCAATAAGTGAGACTGGATAAGTTGCACAGGAAAGTATAATAATAAATTTAAAGTCTCTAATAAATATTTAGACCATTCCGTCAAAATCAGACTACAACATCAAGAAGGCTTGCATGTTAACTACAGCAGATGAAGGGCAAAAGAGAAGGGAGGAATTCAGTAGAATGTTTAAGAGGGAAAAAAATTCGCATTTTGCTCAGTTTTCAACTCTCTACATTTCTTCCCAGTGACAAAAAATAAAGTGGAGAAAAAAAAATGGTTTTCTCTTTCAAAATATCATTTCAGATGTAGCTTTCTCTGCTGATTGTTCTCCCATGTTCTCAATACTGTTCAATCCTTTTGCAACAAATAAGAGGGGACAAAGTAAAGGGAGGAGAAAACATTCCAGTTCAATGCAAAAATAAAAAAAATATCTTCCATCTCCTGATAATTAACCCTTTTTTTAGCCTAGTGGAAAATGAAAAACATGACTTCAAAAGTTAGACTTATTTTTTTTTTATTTAATTAAAGTTATTTCACTGAAAACTGGATGTTGTTGATATTACAAAGTCACCTAGTAGAAGGAACTACAATGAAAAATGGCTTCAGCAGTTGTTTTGATTCGAGGCATATTTATGCTCTGTTGCAATATTTGTAAAGTAAAAATTTCCCAGGGGAAAAGAGAAAAAATTCTTCCTCATGCTTACTTGTTCCATGATATTCAAACTAGCTCCTACAACCTCTGATGAATCAGATTAATAAACATACAGTGCACAGGCGTTCTAACATGTGAATTCCTTTCTTTGGCTCTAAATTAAGCATTATGATTGGTTATCTTGTGGTATTTAAAAATTAGAAATTGTTCTTTCTTATGATCTCCTTTGCTTTTGGAAGAAGACTGACGAGAACCAAACTATATTTCCTTGATTTTTTTTAAAATTTTTTTTCTGCTTTTTCCCACCCTCTTTTGGAATCCTCTGAAGTTGGAACTTGTCATATTAGTTATATAATAATTGCATAATCTTCTATTTTTGCCACCCTTAGTCGTTATTTTTAAGGTTCAGCTACTAAGGACCATAAAGAAAAAAGAAAATCAAAGCTCTCACTCCATAATAGACACACTGAGTTGATCAGCTGAAAGGGCCTGTCAGGAAATATTGCAAAGACAATTCTATGCTTCACCTTGAAATAGTAGATCTAGGAGGTATTACCAAAACATCTATTAACATGCATTCACATTAATTAATGAAAAATAAGGCAGAGATCTCTGTCCTTCAGAGGTCTGGCCTGTTATCTTCAAACCTCTGTTTGAAATAAATTTTAATTAACCCCAGAGGATAAATCAAAATGTTTAGCATTCCACTAAATCCATCATGAATGCCTTGGAAAGGAGAAATTAACAAACATATCAGACAGAATTAAGTACTTGAAAATTTTAACAGGGAGAGACAGACTCTATGACCCATATTAATAATAGTGACACTTCAGTAGCAAATATAGTGTGTTTTCCAGTTATGTGTGCAATGGCTCAGGTCCTCTGGAAGCTGACCATTTGGCCTCCAGTGAGCATAAGGATGCATCTATTGTATTTCTGGTGCAGCAGGTATGTTTTCTTTCCATCTGTGCATCCACTGCAATCCAGAAGATTCACTACCACTTGTTACCTGTCCCTATGCTTTTTCCTACTCTTACCATGCTCTTTTCTGCTAATTGCAAATGTTTCTGGAATATTAGAGTTTTTTTGAGATAGAATTCATTCAGGATAGAATGGAAGAGGGAGCTGTTACCCTTAATGAATAAACCAAGCAGCAATAATGTGGGACCTTGACTCAATTTAACTTCTGTCTTAACTACAGAATTTTTAGGAATATGTATTTTTCTTCCCCCTTCCACCCCCCCTCCCCCCCCTTTTTCACTTTTTTAACTTATATAGTCTCTAAACTTCCAGTGGTAAAACAAAACAAAAAAAAAACAAACAAAACAAACAAACAAACAACAACAACAACAAAAAAAACCAAACAAAAAAACCCCGACACCACCAAAAAAACCCCAGCAAACAAACAAACACAAAAATGAAAGAAAAAATCAACAACGAGCCTAACAGTATCAGACTTGCTGGGCTACAATGTTTGTGAGATTAGCAATGTTGCAGTCTCAAGGATGAAACAGGACAAAGAGTGAGGCTGTGTGCTTGTACAAAGATGAACCCCATGCCGCTCTGGTAAATTACTCAGTACTGCAGCTGATTAAGTGAAAGCAGCAGCAACAGAACAGCACTGACCAGTCCAGTGCTTCCAGCTTCATTGTCCCTTCTATCAATGAGGTGGCCCATTGACTCATTAGCCTCATGCATTAAGCCCATTTACCTTCAACATGCTTAGAGTGTCAAATAATTAACGAACAGCTCCATCCAACAGTGCAGCAGGGACAGGACAACTGGAAGCAGTAACTTATTTAGCTGTCACAACTTTTGTTGCCACATTGAATTCAACTCTGGAGTCTCCAACACAAAAAGGACATGGACCTCTTGGAGCAAAGTTGCAGGAGGCCACAAAGATGAGGAGAGGGCTGGAGCACCTCTCCTATGAAGGAAGGATGAGAAAGTTAGGGCTGTTCAGCCTGGAGAAGAGAAGGCTCCAGAGAGACATTCCATGAGCCTTCCAGCTCTTAAAGGGTCCTACAAGAAGGGAGAGGAACATTTTACAACAGAGTGTGGTGACTGGACAAGAGGTAATGGTTTTAATCTGAAAGAGAGTATTAGGAAGAAATTCTTTGTTGTGAGGGGGGGTGAGGCACTGACACAGGTTGCCCAGAGAAGATGTGGACTCCACACTCCTGGGAGTGTTCAAGGCCAGGTCGAATGGGGCTTTGAGCAACCTGATCGGGTGGAAGGTACCCATGCCCATGGAATGATGTTGGAATAAGATAATCCTTGAGGTTCCTTCCAGCCTAAACTATTGTATAATATCCCTCCCTCCCTTTAGGACCTTTCAGTAGGTCCATGGACAGTCAAGAGAAAACACACAGAGAAATGTTTCAGACACCTGAATCTCATTAATATGTTTACTGTGCATAAAACAATTCACAGGATTGCAGATCTAAATGCATTTAGCTCACAAATGGCTTTATATAAAATGTGGGAAGCTTTACAGTGTTATAGATTGTAATTTTATTTATAAGGTGACTGGGACGTCATGAGTGCCATCAAGGGCTTCTTCCCTTATAAACAGGCACATTTTGGAAAAGAAATGGTTAACATTCATT